GTGTGTGTACATAGAAGGCTGATTATGTTTGTGTTAGACTTGGTGCAAGTYGACCTCTTGATATTTACATAATCGAAATATGCCAGTAAAGAAAGAAAAACTCCATTGCATTTGTTTAAAGCTCGTTGTGTTCTGCATCGCGGTTCTGATTTKGCGAGGGCTACCTGTGTTTTCATTTAGCTTTTTTGACGTGCACGCAGGGAAGAAAGAGTCCAGTTACAAATATTTTTTAGCAGCTGAAATTATATGTCTAATTTCTCATCTAATTTTTAGATATATCATGTCTACAATGAGGATGAGTTATGTTTATGAAAAAATTATATTTGCTTTTAGTATATATGTTTTCACTTTTTGGACAATAAAAAACCCACCTGATTTTGCAGTCCTTAAATGCGCATGTAAATCGCATTGTGCAAACCATGGAGTTGAAAACCTAAGCTCAATTAGATATTTCACCCTAGCGGAAATGAATATGACAAATATAAACGTCATTGATAAAAATGTGCTTTTTCCATTTTTCCAGCGCGTCCCCCCGAAGCGGTCACGATGATAAAAACAGATTTTCAAGCTATGGAAATTTGAAAATATTTCAAAAATGCTTGTAAAATGTAGTATAAAATACTATTTTTTATTTCATGAATGTGGTTAAAACACAATCAATCGGAATGTATACAAAATCCCCTTTCAGCTGGGCTTCCTGTGTTTGATTCTAGAAATGATTTGTGTTTCTTTGTTAGCCATGCAGCATAATATGAATAACAATAAACTCATAAAGCAGTTTCGTTGATRTTTGTACGATTAAAATAACTGAATTCCAAAATTAATTGAAAGAAAATATTCGATGCGATTCATCACTTTTTTGGAACCTGTAAGTATATAGCTTCCCGTCCTTTTTATTCTCATTTCACTAAACTTAATACGCGTTATTGGTCGCATAAACACAAACATTTGAGTGCTTGCAGAACATTTTGACCGCGTTCACAGAGAAAACTTGTTTAAAATATGCATCACATTTAATAACAGTTACAATTTTGATACGCACCTACACGACATTACTTTACGATATCCCAAGTGGTATGAAATATCACGATCACATTCTTGTAAAGCCGACAAATCACCTACATTACAATCGTCTAAACAATCTCGCAGAGTTTACACAGAAATTACACATGTCAGTTATTAGAAAGTGTAAGAAAAACAGCTGTTTCCCGCCAATTCGACTTACTGCTCAGCGGTATTTACAGCAAAGTTATGCTAATATTTTGCAAACAATCAGCAGATTTCGACGGAAAATACTGTACAGTTAGCCACCAAAAGCTAATAACTTGTGAAGGAAAAGAAGCAGAACTTGAAATGAATTCTTTTTGGCTACGATTTCGTCGATGTGAAGTTAAAGATATGTAAGAAGCCAATTTACTCGCTCGAGAAGAAATCAAGTGTCAAATATCGTCAAAGCTACCCTTTATTTTGCTAACTACATGCATAAAAACTCCCTCCTAGACCGTTTGACTGYTTGAMAAGTACTCCAGAACTAATTTAAAGATGTGATTAAACATTTAGAGCTGATAAACACTGCTATTTCACTCGAAAGTATTTTTTAAGGTGAGTTAAATGTTTTGCTTCGAATATGCTGTAAGGTCAGTCAAAATTACTACTATAAACGAGCTGAGAATGTAAAACTCATGACATTTTAGTGCATTTACATTGTATAAATGGATATTTCGGTCTTTGTGCAACATGTTTGAGTAGATTTTGATGTCATATCCTGTAAATTAAGAAATATTGTAGCAATTAAGAAAAGGCATATTTACGTGTTTTCACAAAACCATGGTCTACATGTCGTGAAATTTTTATAGGAAATCTTACTTTGCCAGAGCTAGTCTTTAGCACATTGAAAGATCGATAGATTCCTTGTTTGCAAACAAAAGATGGATTGATTTGGGTATATGGCACAGGAGATACAATTTTTTTAAAATATGGAATTTCAGACTTATGAAAACCGAGCAAAATATGGCTTCCAAAAGAGGAAGCCCAAAGTTTGGGAATTTAACTATTATGAAAGTAAAAATACCATTTTGGGGGCTTTATTTTGTACATCAAATTGAGGTTGAAATTTATGTTTTGAGGCACCAAAGAAAGCAACTGCTCTTAAAAATCAGGAAAACTAATAATCCAAAAACCAAATGGTTTTTGATGATCAGTAACCCAAAGAGTATTAGTGCATGGAATATCATGAGAATCGGTGAGGTAGCCTTGCCAAGTCATTTTAAATTTTCTTGGTTGTTACAGAAAATTGCTCTTAATATTTATTTTTTAACCAGTTTTATATATGCCACGCAACGTTAGTTTCTCGTGGGCATTTCTTTTGATGTGCTTTCATGCTGTTTCCCTCTCGTGAGCATTATCTTTAGCATTAAAACAATAGAAAACGCGTTTTCAACCCAATTCAAATCAGACGGGAGTAAGTTTCATTGTTCGTTGTATTTTTATTTTACGTACAGTTGAATTCTTAACAATTACAAACGTTTTCTTTTCCACAGGATTTGAATTTGCTGATACAGATAAATTATAAAAATTTATAAGGAAATACAGGATTGAAAACTCATTCACTATTATAATTATTTACAAAACTTGTTGCGTGCACGAAAAAGCACATGGGGGGCGAGAAATTGATATATATATATGTATATATATATATACACGTGGAATAGAGACTAACCAATTGCAAACAAAAGTAGACGRTTCTCGGATGCTAGTAGAAATTGAATTGAAGAATCTTTATCTGTTTGAGGTACAATAGCTGCTCTAAATCAAGACAATCTAAAGTTTTAAAGTTAAACTTACCCAGTTTTTAAGGTAACGCTCCTTTTCACGGTATGCAATCAAACTACAGAGTGAGTTTTGTGTTTCACGGAATCACCTTGTTGTTTTTCCTCCATTTTCAATTCCAGCTTTTAGCAAAAACATCAAAAAGGATCTTCCGGTTTTCACCACTTGAATTACTGTGGTATTTTTGGCTTGCTGCAAATATACGACTTGTAACTGTGGGATGGTCTTAGGAAATAGCCGGTACTTGGATCAAACGGTTTTAATATTGAACTACTGAGATGTTTTACACACTGAGTTTAACTATACCAACTCAACTGTACAAGATGTCAATCTACCTTTGTAGTGAATACCTTACAAAGTAGAATTACAGCAAATTGGCAGGCTGTATCGATATTTGATCGGATAGAATATAAGCTTGATGTTCTAAATTTTGATTTACTAATAAGATGCAATAGACCGCAGGTAGAATTTAACGGTAAGGCCCGTTTCATACGTCGATCTTTTGCCGCGTCTCAATCTAATTGCTTTACATGCAGTTCCGGAGACGTTTGCAGTCTACATCGATTGATATTTACAGATTATARTAAGTTCGTCCAACTGAACAAAATCTACTAATGYCAATAAATTCARAGTACAAAATGCTCATAAACTCAACTMCACCAATTAGATTAGACTCGACAAAAGATCGACGTCTGAAACGGGCCTATAAYATAGTGACTGAATTACTAGAAAACCTTCATGAATATGATTTTGATAAAGTTGTTTCATCACACTTACTAGTCATTGTGTAAATACTTCGAGATGAGAAAGCAAAAATTCTCAATGTATGGAGTTTTCGTCGGCTCATATCAAGTGATGTGGCAYTGAGTATTGCTACATGACTGCTTACGATCAGTTCAGCCCACAGTATTGGCGAACTTAGTTGCATCATGTAATTACATTTGACTAAGCTCAGTGACTATTGCAAAAAAAACTGATATTGCTYTCTCCCTTCATAGAATCTCATCGCAAATATTTACTGGAAATTTTGATCGAGGACAATGTTAAATATAAGGGTATTTAAGGATGGATGTCATGGAAGATTGTCATTTGTAGTAAAAATGGTAGGCACTATTTAAGTGTTAATGAGAAAAAGAGGTTATTTTATGATACGAGTTTTTTGACATTTTTTCGGTGACATTGTCCTCTAGAAATAATGATATATGTATGMTTTCTGTAAGGTGAAGCAACTGCATGGCACTTGTGGAATACGTAGTGTGTCTACGGAATGGCAAACAAAATCTGCCACACTCAGCGAGGAAGACTTGCCTGAGAAATGCCCTGTGAACTCTCACAATGAGTGGGACACGTTAGAAGAGGTCATTGTTGGTCGTGTTGAAGGTAAAAAAAATTCTTGTGATGCGTTCTGTTCCCACTATTTACCCTCTCATTTGATTTCTTCTGTCCTAGTCGGGATCACCTCATAATGGAATTAGTACAAGCATTATTATCAGTAATTTATGAATGTGGGATAAAACGAAATACTAATAGAGATAAAGCGTTGAATCAGCTGCTTGCAACAATATACTAATTACCTATGGTATTCTACAATTAAGTTATGATTATAAAATCAGTATTGAATATTGTTGCTGAGAACGTCTTTACTGGTCTAACAACAATCATATTTTGCATGCTTTTATTCCTCTAAAAACCCTAGTCATAATCGCAGGATCATATTGTTTTAGATCGCGAACTGAAGTAAAGTTTCATTTATCTCCGATAGGGGCCGCAGTTCCCCACCTTTCGGCAGAAGTGAAGGCTAATACGAGCCACAAAACATGGGATTTCTTTGACAAGATGGGTGGCAAGCCTTTTCCGATGGAACACGCTAAAGTAGCCGCCATGCAGATCGACGAACTGTGTAACGTTTTGAAACACGAGGGAGTGATTGTTAGGAGACCAGAGCCTATTGACTTCACACAGGTATTGCGCGAATGACACGCTTTGATTTCTTTGTTGTCTTTAGAGCTGTTGCGACTATTAGCTAGAACTACTAGTGGGCTCTATATATAAGTTGGTTTCCACATGTTGCTGGAGGTTCAACTTACTCTCGCGGTGTGTACACCTCCTCCTTAAAGCATCGCCACCTTTCCTGCAACTTTCTTCTTCTATTCTTCACAAGATTTCCAATTCCCATCTTTTCTTTCCATTTTCAACAGTCCCTTGGTCTTTTGGCTACGTACCTTTTCGTTCTTSGGGCAGGTTGGAAGTGTTTGATCCTTAAYGCATCGAGGTTAACCTCAATTTACGAGTTTTAATCTGATCTCCCCTGTCTTGTTAACGCTGTCATTAGGTTTACCAGACACCGGACTTCACTTCTAGCGGTCTGTATTCAGCGATGCCCAGGGATATTCTTCTAGTAGTTGGTGATGAAATCATTGAAAGTCCAATGGCTTGGCGAAGCAGGTTTTTCGAGTATAGAGCCTACCGGCCTCTCATTAAAGAATACTTCAGACAGGGAGCAAAGTGGACAACTGCACCTAAACCACTCATGTCGGATGAACTCTACGACCAGGTAACACAATTTTTTGGTAACCCTTCGAACTCTCTGGGCTACAGACGTTTGTGACGGAAAATCGGGACGCTTTTAGTAGCTAGTCAACTTGTATATGTCCATGAATAGTTTAGTAAAAAGATAAATTTAACACCGTAAAAAAGTAGGTGAAAGTAGGGACAGTAGGTTTCGGACGTTAATCCTCTGTCGGAGTAAAGAGATTTCYATGTCGACATGACTTGTTCAGTAAGTCAGTAAGTTTTCATGATTTCAGGAATATCCTTTGTCAAAAGACGATCAACGACAACAACTCGCTGCTCAAGGACGTTTTTTTACAACAGAATTTGARCCGTGCTTTGATGCTGCCGACTTCATGAGAGCAGGAAAAGATATATTTGTCCAAAGAAGCCAGGTATCAATTGGTTAGATTTTTCTTATTTAAGACATTGGCCGGCGTATTGGTTTCAATAATGGATAACGTTGGATTTTGTATTCGTTAAAACACTTCGGCGCCAAAAAAAAAAAACACCGAAAAATTACTGATAAATGAAAAACAAATTTTGTATAAAATATATTGCTTTCAGAGTGTATGCTTAATATATATTGTTCAAGGACTAGGGCTTGGACACAATTTTGAGGGGGGGGGGAAGAATGGAGGCAAGTTTATCACCCTTCTCCGTGATCTWTACTAAAATATATATATTTGACTGGTTTGTTTAGGTAACAAATTACATGGGTATAGAATGGATGAGGCGACATCTTGGTGACAAATACAATCTTCACATCTTATCGTTCAAAGACCCTAGGCCCATGCATATTGATGCAACCTTCACTATTATTGGACCTGGGTTGGTCTTGTCAAACCCTGAACGCCCTTGCCATCAAATCGACATGTTTAACAAAGCTGGCTGGAAAGTGATTTTTCCACCTTCTCCTCTAATGCCTGATGATCATCCCTTATGGCTGGGCTCCAAGTGGTTGTCAATGAACGTTCTGATGTTGGATGAGAAAAGAGTCGTTTGTGATAAGAATGAAGTTACCATTATGAAGGTACAGGATTTATAAGGCTTTCCTCTTYCCCGGCTCCTCTCTGCGTCCCTCCACATTAAATGGCATAGCCACGCCGTTCAGTTTTATTCCTGAATACAAACATAAATTTAAATATGTTAAAATTTGATTTGTTTTATTGCAGATGTTTGAGAAGCTTGGCATAGCTTGCATTCCCGTTGATATACGCTTTGCCAACTCCTTTGGTGGTGGTTTCCATTGCTGGACCACTGATATCCGTCGTCGTGGAACCCTGGARTCTTACTTTTAATCTTAATTCAATTTTCAATGATTTCTATAGCTCCTTTTAAGTTACGCGCTTACTCTTCTTAATGTAACTAGATTTGAAAAAAAGACGACTCCAATTTCATGTGCCGCAGAAGAATTTTTCGAGTGTAATTATTTCTTAATTGCACGGTATCATGTTACTTATTGATATATTATTAAAGAAAATAATTAGTAAATATTAAGGATTAATAAGGGGATATATATATTTCTCTCAGAACTTATCGCTTTTAACCATAGCAAGTTTGTAAAATTACCCTTCGCCAATAATCAAGTCGAAGATGAGTTTAAGCTTTATTAGATCGAGAATGAATTATACGCATTTGAAGTTTATATATATGATATCAAAGAGGYAAGATTTTTCTGTAACTCCGAGTTTCGTGCTACGCACTCATCAGACAGTATTTAAGCATTTGAAGTTTATAAATATTCGTAATTCATYTTTGTGGTCAAARAGCTGGGATCAAATAAAATTTTATGGCAATCCCATTGGGATTCGAATATTGAGAATTAGGTATTACCTAACCTGGTAACCTCTTCTATTTACAAACATTTTTTCCCCGTCATACAGCCGTTCACGCTACACTAAGTTGTCCAGGTTCGCTTCGCGCTGAAATGCCGGGCTGCTTTTTCTCTARGAAGCGCAGATAGTTTACAGTTTCTTATTCAAAATTTCTATATGAATATTATCACATTCACGATCCATCCCTTATATAAGTCTGAGAACTACTGGATTATCGTGTGGCYCAGGAAAATGGACATGTGTGCAACCATGACATTAGAAACCACTTAGAAACAGCTTCGAGTCAAGAAGAAGTCGTATCAAAAACTATAATTATTTTATAATGTGTCACCCACACGCAGATCTTAAAGTTTAAAATAAATGACTGAATTAAAGTTATTTCTGGGAAAGGCTATTGCGTTATACGATTAAGTCTTAATTGATCGTTTTTAATCATCCCCATGAGATTCAAAAGATAAAAGACCGGAGGCCATGTTGGAGGAATGAACAATAGATACTAACGCGAAATCCTTTGTTAAAGTTCCCCCAAGATGGCTGCTGTGACGTATAGTGAAAACGAAGAATAGTGTTAAGTTCAGCAAGTACATCATGTTTGCTGTGACAAGCGGTTTCATACTTTTTTTAGGACTGGTGAATTCACCTTTKCATTTCACGGGAAAATAGTCATCGCACTTGAAGTGAACGACTTTGACAAAAATTACTGATGCAAAAAACTGGGGGATCTAAKTTTTAGCGATTAGGCCTCGAGGGCGAATGGATTGCCAACGGATAGCACATGAGGCAGAAGGCTATCAGTTCGTATAGTCCACGACACTGAGAGGTCCAATTGTTGAGAATAACCAATACTAGTTGAACAAAAGAAATCAAAGGAAATATATAAATAGCCAAATGTTTTTAGTCCAAAAAATTCGCATTTACAGCGGTAATTAAATTGCATTAATTTATCTCCTACGTCGTTTGACACGCTAAACATGGTTGTCAAGGTAGTCATCATCCGAATCACACTCCACAAAAAAGTCCAATCTTCCACCCCTTTCAAAAAAATAAACTATTCAAACACGATAATCATCACTAATTATGTATGCCATTCTTCAAGGATAACATTCAATGCACTATGACCGCATTTTATCTTAGAAAGGACAATATGAGTCACAATATGAGGAAATGTTGTAAAGCGTTTWTTGTTTCTTTTTGATTGGTCAGTGGGCGTCATTTTCAAGGCTGCTTGTAAGTTTGGTAGCGACTCAAGACATTCTCGCCGGAACACTTATTCCAATCTATTTCCTGATCTTATTGAACAACATAGCCCCAGAAGGACTTAGTATAGCATCAGTCCATTCATCGTCCAAAAAATCCACCCTGGTCRGTCGATGCTTCTTGGTACTGTTTTATTAACAGCTGCTAATATATTGATAGTGATTGTTTGATCCAAGTGAGATTAGCCGGAGTCGCGGTGTTAGAACAGGGTCTTAGAACACATTTGGTAGTTGCTAAGTCAACTAATAAATATATCATTATTTCTTAAATACGATGTAATGATAGATTAGTTGACTTAGCAACTATCAGATGTTTAATGCACTTCTGTAACTATGTGTTCTAAGGCAAAACATAGCGGAGGCATTGTTTTCCGAAATCCCTATGCATGTATTTTTCGGGTTTTTCAACTTTCTTTAGCGAAAAAAGCAATAAAAATTGACRTTAGCTGAGAAGCTTTTAATTCCTTTAGGAGGCATAATTTAGTGATTCAAGTCCCACTTTTCAAGATGGCGGACGCATTGTTCTCCCAAACATGCTCCTGATGCATGTTGAAAGGGATCAAAAAAACTGTGTACTTTTGCCTGAAATAATGATTCGTTTGCACTTTATGGTAGCCATTCTTGATCTCGCGCTATCCCAACGCACTCACTTTTAATGAAATGTTTATAACCAAGAACGCAAAATTATAGATGCTGATGGGGCAGAATTAACTTCAACACATAAATAGGCCCGCTCAAGCTATTGCGCAGCCMTCTTTGGTGACCTAAAGAGCGATCACGTGCCAGTCAWATAATTGACGTCTTTACCGGAAGAGGAACTGTACAAGGTCATGTACTTTTAATTGCAAAGTTAATGCCACAAAATTTATCATACAAAGATGCCATACATCTTGATCAAGAGCCATACATATCAGAACAAAAAGGCCGACTTCGTTCAGACTTGGATCTACTTTTTTCAACCAAGCTTGGAGGGATATGATGTCTATCAAGTCGATTCCACGCTTGCAAGATTGGGAGAGCGAAGGGTTAATGAAGGGCAGACATTAAGCACGCCATATCGGACTTATGGAAGCAAAGAACCACCTCACGTAGTGCTGAACGAGTTGGAGAAACTTAACTTTATCGTTGTTGGAGTTTCTAATGAGAGTGGTGCAATGATGTGGACGTTACGCAAGCCACTGGAGAAAAAGTAACGAAATGCTGAACACGATGTAACTTGTATCATATGACCTAACATGTCTGAGTAAAGATAGTCAAGAATCCGTGTAATAACTGACAAGTCTACTATTGTACACATATAATATGGAAGATAAAGTGTTGGTTCATTTCATTGCGTTTTATTAATCAGTTATCAATTAAGACCAATTAATTACAAAGGGCCACGGAGGACAAGGGTTACGTTGAGCCTCCTCCGCAGGCCGGCGTTCCACTTATAATCCCCGGGTTCCTTGTGGAAACAAATATCGAAGCTAGAGGTTACAAGGAGCGGTACTATTTTTAGAAAGAAACGTTTTCTGTCACTGTCTCCATTTTCTTTTTTATTATTCTYTTGTCTTCTTTCAAATAATAATCCTCCAGTCAGGTCTGTAAGCAGCCCAACATATCTCCATACACTCTTTTACGGTCCCAGTGTGTTGGTCAGCCTGTGCCCCGGATGAGGGCAGCGTCCTGGGTACACGTGAGACAGCCGGTGTCTGTTCTCGCTCAAAGATGCACAAAGAATTGAACCCCTGACAGAGTTTACACCGACACCTCCACCACTGAAACAACCAGGCCATTGCAGCGAATATGTCAACAAGCAGCAACGCCGGCAAAATCTCGCAAACTGGTAATAATAGTCCAGTGTTGTTTTGATTATACAAGACAGATACTGCAACTATAGTTGTTATGAAGGTAGGCACAGCAAGCAAGCACTCAAGGAAAGCCAATATCATAACAAGTAGAAGAACAAAAAGTGGTCTTTTCATCGTGGTAATGTATTTAACCAAATACAAACTGCAGCACGATGTTGCAAGCGCAATGATCCCGCATGATATCGCGAGACCAGGAAAAACATCTCTTGTATATTCACTTATCCCGTCAGGCATTTTGAATTGTAGAAGACAAACCACTACAATACTAACGATTTCAATCATGACTGCTACGATCAAGTGCGCCGTGCTCCAATTCTTTGCGCGGTCGAAGTTGATATAGCCCAGCTTTRTGCCCAATGTCTCATCGCGATCATAATCTGAATCAAAGCTTTCAATGAGTACAATTGGCTCAGTATCAAGGTCTATTTCTGTGCGATATGCTTCCTCCATTCTGTTTGTTTGAGTAAACGAATCCTCCATTTTAGTTCCTTGTAAAACCAACCAGACAGAAGCAATATCACTCATTGTTGTATACGTATTCTGATTGGTTGAGAACTATAATTTCTATAATTAGTGCGAAGCATGTGAATGATTTGTGAATAATTAATTTTTGTGGATATTAAAGGACTGAGATAAAAAGGAATTTTTTTGTCATCCTTGAGTAAGCGAAGTCCAGTCAAGTACAGAAAACAAGAGACAGCTAGTCTTCAATACAGATTTAAAATGTTTAAAAGTCGACAATAGTGTAAGTCGACCATTTTTTCCTGTAGAATTTCAGTTATGAATATAAATGATTTGTAAACAGCTACTTCAGAAAACGTTTCACCGATAGTGTATTGCAATACCGCAAATGMATTGTTGGTCGTCGCATTGCAATTATTAAAAGGGGTTTGAACCCTGTTTCAGAGTAATTACGCCAACTCTGTACCCTCGATGGATGACAATCATGCAGCTTTGAATTGTGATTTTGCATGTATTGCAATGCATTTCTTGATACCGACCCTGCTGAGCTTTGTGCTCTGGATAGTTAAAACTGCTCTAGCTAAAGCTGAAATGGTTATTATCAAAACAAATAGCAAAAGAAGAGGCGAGTATGTAGAACCTTCCTTTGTTATGCTATACAAGCATGCGTATTAGCGTCATGTCCWTGCTCCTACTGACTTGGTAGAGGAATCCCAATTGAAGGTTTTTACGTGGGAAGGCAAAGTTGCACCTAAGCGACAGCGTAAGTGGCAACGTAAGTGGTAACCTAAGTAACAATGAAGTGGCAACGTAAGTGACAACGTAATTGGCAACCTAAGTGGCAACCTAAGTGACAACGTAAGTGGCAACGTAAAAGTGACAACGTAAGTGGCAACGTAATTGGGAACGTAAAAATATGGCGTAGAAATAAAACGAAAAGTAAGAGGACCAAAGATATAAAAAAGAATCGTTAAAAATATAATGCAGTACCCGAAAAATGGTGGTGTCACGTGAGAGCCACCATAGCTTGTTTGCAATTGAGTTGACGGCTACTAAAATATAGATAACTTGCAACAGGTAGCTTGTAGAAAACACTCAGACTTATAACTACGGGAATTAAAAGCAGCCACAAAAGCTATCACAAAAAAAATGCCATACATCTTGGTCACTAGCCATACTGAATTTCAAAACAAAGAGGTCGACTTCGTTCAGACTTGGATCTACTTTTCGGGTCATGATTATGTTGGCGCGCTTTCAAGTTTGGCCGGAGAGAAGAAGGTTTATGAGGGGCAATCACCGTCATATCGGACTTATGAAAGCCATGAACCACCTTACAAAGTGCTGAATGAGTTGGAGAAGTGTGACCGCTTTACGGTTGTTGGAGTTTCTAGTGAGAATGGAAAGACGACGTGGACGTTGCATAGACCGTTTTATAACTGACAAGTCTACTATTGTGCACATATAATATGGAAGATAAAGTGTTGGTTCATTTTATTGCGTTTTATTAATCAATCAGTTATCAATTAGGTTAATTACAGATGGATACGGGTGATACTGCTTCCCCCTTTTAGCCTCCTCCGTAGGCATCCGTTCCACTTATAAACCTCGGGTTCCCTGTGGAAACAAATATCCAAGGTAGAGGTTACAAAGAGAGCTTCGTCGTTATTTTTGGAGAGGAAAGAGACGCTCCTACGGGGGTTTATAATAGTGGTCTGCCTCTTATCATCTTGGATTCACAGTGTCGTATTGGAGTGGTTCGATCATTGACAACATGATGCCACGTACTGATTGTATATTAATGGTTTAC